CTCTCTCAGAGTTGCAAGTTAACACTTACCTTACTTACTTTTTATAGTTAAAAAAAAAGCCCTGAGTGTGTCTGAGCCAAGAACCCCCCTTTGGAGGAAATAGAGATGGTGGGATACTTCCCGTGTTGCACAATTTTTAAACGTCCCTCTTGTCCTCACCAACTTCAGACTTTGTGTTTAATGTTCCTCATTCACTTTCATATTGGCTCCCTTGTCTGTGCCTTTACCATCATTTGAAATTCCCTCAAGCAAGTTCTATAGCCACCATTCTCTAAGTCTTTATCACCTGAGAACCATCCTTCTTTGTCCAGTAAGTATTCCTGCCCTGTATTCTGAAATAATGACCTGGCCTATGTGTTTGCTACCTCCTGAGTCTCTTCAGATACCTGCTTCCTCCTGCATTATTGTTTGCATGTTTTCCTCCCTTACTAATCTCTGAGATCCTGAGGAAACAACTCCTAGCTCTGTCTCTTAGGATATTATGGGTGCTTAATTAATGCATATTAAAGTAAATTTAATTTAACCAAATATAAAGTAATCTAAAAATTTGCACTAGTGAAATAATTTAGTAAATTAATGTTTTTCAAGAGGTGTGGTCCTGGGATTTGCAGAGGGTAATCAGTGTTTAATGACCCAGTACTTCCTTTAAAATTGAGCTATGCACAAGTTCATGGGCACTACAGTGCTTACAGCAGCATTAATAATGGAGGTGCTCCGTGTGGAGAGGATGGTGTGCTGCCGGAATTGGAGGCAAAGGCAAAATGACTCAAGCAAAGAAAAGAGGGGAGGGGAAAGGCACCCCTCATCTTGACAACCATTTAAAAAATCTTCAACAGATTTTATATGCAGAGCATGTCAGACTCACAAATGAACCATGGGAGATTTTTTCCCTAGTATTGAAGAAAAGGGTGTGATTTATACTGGTGGGGAGGGGGCTGGTAGAGAAGCATTAAAAATTAAAGGTCGATTAAAAATTTGGAGAATTTCTAAAGCATTTGGGACAGCAATTTTGAAGTGTCACTGGATATATTCATCCCTGAAATGGTTTCCCTGAGGCTTTGTGCAGTCTCGGTGCAGAGAAAGAGAGAGAGGGGAGTTTCTGTGAAATCCTGCAGTCATAATGAAGACAGGTACCTTGGGAAAAGAAAGTAGTTTGCATGCAGAAGTGGGGCAAATAGAGAGGAAATGGATTGCACCAGTACTTCAGACAAACAGGTGTTTGCTTCAGTCCTCACACATAGGGTGCTGAACTGAGAGTTTGAGAAACACAAACAGGACCAAGGCCCCACCATCCTCCTGCCTGTCCCCAAGAGGAACTCACTGTGGGAAGCAGAGGTACAGCAGGAAGATGTGAAAAGGTGTACTGTGACCTAACATCTGCAGGACATTGTTGATGCAGGGAGATACAGAGGCTGTTTTCTGCCCCTCACAGGCCACAACGTCCTCTGCGAGAAGTTCCTAAATTACACACTAGAAGCTTGTTTATGGCAAGAACAATGCAAAAAGATTTATCACATGTGTAGTGCAGGGGTGGACACTAGGTGAAATAAGAGGGTGGAGCAAGTGCTTTAGATCAGGGTGATGGGAAACACATTGTTGAAGATGTTGAAAATCCTGAGCTACAGTTAAGGAGTTGGGTGAACAGAGGGAAGGAAAGTCTAGAGGAGAAACATGGAAACTGGAATCCAGCTGTAACCAGCAGGAGCCAGTCTCTTCCCCACCTGTTGCACTTTCCTTGTGGTCCTTGGGCAATTCTGAGTCAGCATTCTATGAACATCAAACAGGTGTCTGGAATGGTGGGCTTTGCAGGGAGTAAAGGTAAGATGCCAGAAACTAAATCAAAATATGGAAATGAAAGGGATGGACTTACTGGGACACAGAGCTGTGAAGCAGCCTACCTGCAATGGCTAGGGCACTGTCAGCCTGAGTGAACTGTACTCACGTGACTAGCATAATGTAAAGTGTCCTGATATACACAACAACAACAAGAAGATACTGAACAAAATGTTGCATGGCTAAAAACAGGTTTGGGTCACATTATAAAAGCTTTTTAATATTTTCTAATCCAGAACAATTTCTGAGATAGGCTGGTTTCAGGAATGATAGATCATTATGATGATTCAGTGTAAATATGCCAGACGTTCATCACTACACTCATTCATGACAATTTTAAATTTTTTGTTGTTGTTGTTATTTTTGAAACATGGTCTTGCTATTCATTCCAGACTAGCTTGGAACTCACTGTGTAGCCCAGGATGGCCTCAAAACTGTGACAATCTTCCTAAATCAAAGTATTAGGATTACAAGATTGGACACCACATATGGCTCATTTATTACTATTTAATTCTTTAAGCAACGCTCAATAATTTTAAATATTAAATATTATTTAAAATAAAAATTAAGAAGAAATAAGAAAGGAAACTATGTTTGAGGTGATGAATGTGCAAACTGGCTGAGCCTGACACTGGGTGAAGTGGACCTGTCCCCTACTTTTCTACTGTAAATTTGTACTTTATTATAACAGTGAGGAGCTGTGCATGCCAAAAGCTTTCCCTGAGGGATACAGTAAGCAGTTGATGTGTTTACTCACTTGGTATGGTGAATGGCAAGGAGTATGCATGTGTGCAAAATTGGCAAAATGAGATTTTTACCCATGTTATTGACTGGTTTTGCATGTGTTTCCCTAAACATTACAGAGGCCCCAACAGACCTACACCACTCCAGGATTTGTCTTTTTTACAATTTTCTTTCAATTTTTCTGGTAAAAGTAGCCCAATTCAGTAAAATGGCACATGAAAAACAGATTTGCAAGTTTTGGAAGAGGTCAAAAGTGAATCATCAAATTACCCATGCGTGGATGATAAAGATGATCCATTATGGTAAAATACATATTTTCATAACAGAACAATGGTGTGTATGGATGATGATTTTGACATTGGTCATATGAGCCAAATTCCTATGACAGTGAAATGAAGCGAGAATCAACTGATACTGACACAGAGAATGCAGAAATCCTTGATTAAAGGATGGCGAAAAAAAACAGCAATGTGGATACAAATTTGATGAGCAGAAATATTGCAAAATGGCTGTGCAACCAAATGGAATGATCCAATGTTAGAATTAGGTCCAAAAATATAGTGAGGTCTTGGCAGGAGTGAAATGTATGGGACAGAATGCCAGCATTGCCATTCAATGCTGGAAATGGTAACAGATGAAATGCTACAAGATGATGTGAAATACACAAAGGCTGAAATGCAAGTAAAATGTACACCAATAGCAATACTCAAAAATGTATTATTATGACACCTCACTAGCTGAACCTAAAGCATTCATAGATCTGCTGTGCTTAGCAGGGATTTCTCATGGTAATCACAGGAATGTAAAAGACTTATGGGAAGGCAATGGGTCAAAACATGACATAAAAATTTATGCTCTTATACATGAAAAGAACTATTATGCTTTCAATTTAGACATTTATCCTGGAACTCAGCCATCAAATTCTTATTTGCATGGTAATAAACTGAATGATGTTGTGAACAGACTCATTGTTCCCATTTCCCAAACTAATCAAAATTGTGACATATGACAATTGGATTACCAGTTTAGAATTGATATTACATTCATTAACAGAGCACAAGTTGACCAGCACAGGAACTGTACACAAGAACAAAGAGGAAATTTCAAATAAAATGTTGCAATTTCAAAACAGAAAATTGAATATTATAATCCTTGGATTTCAGAAATATTTACATTAGCCTCATAGATGAAAAAAAAAAAAGAACACCAAACTGGTACTGCTGATGTCAACATTGCACCATGATGAAAATATTGATAGGGAAATCTCAACAAGATGAAAGCCTGAAATAGCTGTTTTCTACAACAACTTTTGTACAAATCACAACATGAGTGCAATATGGGTCAACTACAATACCTGTATAGGATTATAATATAGTCACTTACCTAATATTGATCCAATAAGGAAACAACATGGAAAGATCAAAGGACTACTTGCAAAGGGAAGAGATTATGGGTCCAGCTGTTCTGGTCACCCACCTGTACATCTTATACCTATCTTGGCCCACTGGACCAAGTGGTGCTAATTATAGTATAATCTCAAATTGCTGTTTAACAGGCCTGGCTATTGTGGTCTGGCTCTCTTCAGGAAAGATTCAAAAATCTGTCTTTGAGGGGTTAAAAGAAAGTTTGCAGCATTATAGAAAAGTGAAATGGAGGCAAGAATTAGGGGCTTGCTTAGCTGGGGCTTTGCTTAAGAGGTAGGGTAGGTAACCCCAGCCAAGATGTGGTCTAGACTAGGATTTCAGGACTATTTCACCAAGGTTATGGGGGAATCATTGTCCTCAAGGGGGGAAATTTGATCCCCATCATGAAGTGATGGCTCTCACTTTTTGGAACAGCCTCAACTGCTCATTGCTCCTGCTTGGGTGTAAAAAAAACTTCATCATGGGTAGTCTTTCCTATTCTGTTTTTCTCAGGTTTGGGACAATGGCTGGTGAATTCTAGGTATCATTCCATGGAAGTTGCCAATAGACACCATCTTCCTTTAGTGACTCTTATTTTGGTGTGCTCAGGCCTAAAAGGAGATGACATCAGCTAAATATAAGGCTAATTCACTTGTAATATTGTAATTATTTAAAGTAATTAACATGTCTACATGTAAAGTTGAATAGCAATCTGGCCCATAGTTTTGAGGTAATAAAAGAGACATAAAATGAAGGCACAAATGTGGCTTCTTTCACTAAAGCAGCTTTATCCTGTTTTTAGTTACTCATTTGGCATCTGCAGGTATGTCCAATCTTTAAGTCCCTATTACAGTTTCAACAGCCAAACTACAAATATCTAGGGCAGGCATGGCAAACTTATGGCAGGCAGCACAGGCTGAAGCCAGTTGTTTATTATCATTGCAAATTCTAAATCGCCATCACTAATGTATAGCACAGGGATATATGGATCATTAAGTAGAATTCTCAGACAGCTCTTACCTTCATGTGGGCAATGATCAGGTCTTAACTGAGCATTGGTCTAGATGACCCTAGAGAATAGAAACAGAATAACTTGAACTATTTCCAGTTATGTAAACTCATCCCTGAGGAAAGCTCAGGATGTAACAACAGGCAATTCTCCATATTTAAAAATCTAATAAGAAATACTAAATTAGGAGAAAAAAATGGAACTAACCTAAAAACTGTTGTAGATGTTAGTTCTGATGATGACTTTAAAACATTATTAAAATTGTAACTGTGCACATTCAAAAAATAAGTTGAGATTATAGGTTAATATTAAACTTGCTGACATGAAATCTGTATGAAAAATACACTGATATTTCCAGATTCAGATTCAACATTAAAAATCTTGGAAATTGTCTCTTATTTTTGTACTGAATACAGTTGAACAAGCTAAATATCAATGAAGTTTGGACCCATAAAAGAACTGAGATTTCAGAGAAAATCACTGCAAAATTTTCAAATAGCTTAGATCAGGTTAGGGAGAACTAACTTGCTAATTAAAATACTTACATCAGAACTCTGACACCTTGCTGGAAGTTGAGTGACTACCAGGACAACAAGAAACTCCTGAGGCTATAGTCTTTCACAGGGACCCACGCTTTCACAGGTTTTACCTCCAGGAACTCTGCTTAGTTCTCCTGGTGAAGAATCAAGAAAAAATTCAATTATCTCTGAAAGAAAAGAGGAAAACAACCATTCTGATACATGATCAGTGCATTCTCCACTGCAAATCATGCTCTTCAGGAGAAAAGCATTCCCACAGACTTACTAAACCTAAGAAGAATAGTATTTGCCCACTTCAGTCCTCTCTAGCTTCCCTAGGAAGCAGGGAGAGAGCTGATGCTAAGGAATGCCTGCCCAAGGGCACACTAAAAGGACTGGAAATGGGAGAAACAGGTGTGTCTCACACCCAGACTTCGACAGCCTGAGGCTTTGCCTGTTTTGGAAGCACCCAGGTGGCGACTATGGATTTTCTTCAGTGCAGTTCATGCAGCACAGCTGCCTTCATGGAACCTCAGGACGTGGAAGTCATGAAAACAAAAAATCAGATTTTGATCCAGTGGAAGGTGGAAGGTGGAGGTCTGAGACAGCCACTGACGCTCTCCTCACTCTGGCCTGCCTCAAGTGAACCTGTGAGGACTAGTTAGCCACTTGGGTGCCTCAGCAATATCCACTCCCCCAAGGCCCCCTGATTGTGCCAGTTCTCATATCCACTCTGCAAAGCACAAGTGGTCATAAAGCACATTTTTCTGACCTGCAGAAGATAGAACAGAAGTGAACAAGTACAATAAAGGCACATCAGATCTCTGTAGTTGGTAAGTTGGAGAGGTCACCACCTTCCATCAGAACTTTGAATATCTTCAGAGAAAGGACAGAGGGAACCTGGAGTAGAACCTTGCAGAGTTCAACCCTGCAGGAGGTCAGGGAACTAAATTTGGGCCTTGCAGCCTGAATTCAGCCTGAATCTCAGGGGTCAGCCATTGGCTGGCTGAGACTAAAAGACTTACTTCTGCACATGGCTGTGCACATTATCTATTGTGACAGCAGAGATATAGTCTGAAAGAAGCCCTTCAAATTCTTTTTCTTCTTTCTTTTCCCCATTCCACTCTGCAAAGTCTTTTTTCTGTCTTCTATTTCCAACTCAGTCTCTTGCTCCCCCATATTATTCTTTATCTCCCTTTCTGTTCCTGTTCCTTCCCTAACTCAGATTTCTTCTTTTATTGTTTTTTATTCTTTCTTTATTTTCTTTTCTTCTCCCATTACCCTTCACTCAAAGGTCAATAGTTTCAAAGGAAAGTGAGCCCCTATTACTGTTAAGTTGTTATATTCTTGTCCTTATCCTTGCACTCTGTCTTTCTCTCTTCTCTTCAACAGTTTCCTAAAGTTTGTGTGGTCATCCTGTGTCCTCTAGCTTCACTAGAAACTTTCTTCAATTATTTTACCTATCTACTCCTCCTTTCCTAACTCTATTTAAGCCCCAACCCTAAATGGTAAATATGCTATATTGAAGAGTTTATTCATTGTGGACATATTTTGGGCTGCTCCTTGAATTTGATTTAATTCACATGGTTTAAAGGACATAGATTAATGACTACCACAAATAGTCAATTGGTAAGTTGTGCTTGATCCTATTGTGTTGCTGATTGTATCAATTGGGCTAAAGGGTTGTGATTGATTTAATGAGTTGTCTTTTCTGATATTAAGAAAATGAGAATATCTATGAGTCATTAGAAACTGAAAAGCTAAAGCACAACTATATAGTGAAAATTTAAGTAATGCCTGAAATAAACCAAGAACAACCCAACGAAAAAAATAAAGATGAAGAAACACTTAAGCAGGACACAAAGACAGATTTCCAGTTCACCATTGGCAAATTCTAGGACAAGTGAGGTGGAAAAGTCTGACAGTCAACCAGCAGGACACCCTGAACTTATAGCACAGGAAGTAAAAAAGCAGATCAATCAGGCTCTGGAAAATTTCAAAACAGAAATAATTTCCCAGATAACTACAGAGATACTGAGCACAATGAAAGACATGATTAGAGGCTCTAGAACAAAATCTGGCAAAATAAAAATAGATGAGCTCAGGACCACGTAGAAGCCATGAAGGCCCAGCATAAGAAAGAAATCAAAACCATGAATGCTCAACATAGGAAAGAAATGGAATCCATGAAAAAGTTTCAAACAAATATCCATGAGATTAAAAATTCTATTGAAAGTTTTCACAGCAGGATAAATGAATGTGAAGATAGAACTTCAGATACAGAAGATAGGATTGAAGTCAGTGACTATGAAAAGAGATATCTCTTCAAATCAGTAAAGGATCATGAGAAATCGATGCAACAACTAATAGATGATGCAAAGAAGAATAACATAAGACTGATAGGAATCCATTAAATAGTAGGAGAAAATACAAAGGACTTTAAAAAAGCTGTTCACAGTATTAATGACAGAAAACTTACCAAACAGAACAAAGGAATTTGACATACAGATAAGTGAGGCATATAGGACTCCAATTAGCCATGATCAAAAAAAAAAAAAACTACACCTAGACATATAATAATCAAGATCCCAGAAACTCAACAGAAGAACAAAATACTACAAGCAGTAAGAGATAAGAAACGAATCACATGCAAAGGAAAGCCAATCAGAATCACAGCAGACTTTTCAACACAAACCCTCAGGTCAAGAAGAGCCTGGAGTGATGCATTTCAAGTCCTAAATTCAAACAACCTCCAACCTAGACTGGTGTATCCTGAAAAACTCTCTTTTAAAATGGATGGGGAAATAAGATACTTCTATGACAAACACTTGAGAAACTTCATGAATACCAAACCAGCACTACATGAAATTCTAAACAATATCCTAGAAAAAGACAATGAAGGTCACAACACCATGAGGCCTAACAGAGTAAATGAAATGGGCAAGGCAAGAAACTAAAAGGAGGGTCAGGGGATTTAAAAGAGTCAACAAAAGAGCAAGAAAAACCCAAAGGTCATACAAGAGAGGAAATTTAATGATTAGAGCAGAAATCAATGCAATGGAAACTAAGAAAACAATACAAAAAAATTAATGAATCAAAGATTTGGTTTTTTGAAAGAAAAAATAAAATTAATAAACCCTTAGGTAACCCTGTCAAAAAAAAAAAGAATGAATGAAAAGGGCAGATCCATGCAATTAGGAATGAAAAAGGTGATGTCACAAGAGATCCAGCAGAAATCCAGAGGATAGTCAATACCGACTTTGAGAATCTGTACTCTAATAAAATGGAAAACAGAAGAAATGGACAGATTTCTAGAGACTTATGAATTACCAAAGTTGAATGAAGAAAATAAAAAAATTCTAAACATTCCAATTACAATCAGTGAAATAGAAAATGTGATTAAAGTTACCAATGAAGAAAAGTCCAGGTCCTGATGGATTCACTGCTGAATTTTACAAGATGTTTAGAGAAGAACTACTGCCAATACTCTTTAAACTTTTCAATGAAATTGAAAGGGAAGCAATACTTCCAAATTCATTCCTGGAAGCAAGTGTTACTTTGATTCCAAAACCAGGGAAAGGCCCACCTAAAAATGAGAACTACAGGCCAATCTCGTTAATGAATATAGACACAAAAATCCTTAATAAGAAATTGGCAAGCAGAAAACAAAGGATCATCAAAAAGATCATACATCCTGCCCAAGTTGGATTTATTCCAGGGATGCAAGGATGGTTCAACATAAGTAAACCAATAAATGTAATACACTATATTAACAGTGTCAAAGACAAAAAATCATACGATCCTCTCAAAAGATGCAGAAAAAGCATTTGACAAAATTCAACACCCATTCATGATAAAAACCCTGCAAAAAATTGGAGTAGATGATCTATACCTCAACTTAATAAAGGCTATCTATGAAAACACAACAGCTAACATCATATTAAATGCCCCCAAACTGAAAACCTTCATGTTAAAAATCAGAAACAAGACAAGAATGCCCACTATCACCACTCCTCTTCAGTATAGTTCTGGAAACATTAGCCACAGAAACTAGACAAGAGAAAGAAATTAAAGCAAGTCCCAATTTGAAAATATACTACAAAGCCACTGTGATAAAAACAGCATGGTACTGGCAAAGAAACAGACCTGAGGATCAGTGAAATAGACTGGGAGATACAGAAACAACTCTAGGTGAGTTTTGTTTCACCGCCATAGCTTGGACTCAGAGCCACCTCTGCTGCATGGTGAGGCCCAAACCATGGGCCTCCTCTGGAGCTGTGATGTTTCCGGTAGGCACCATTGATTGGCTCTGACACAGCACCAGGAGGATAGTCGCGCCCCCCACCCCTGGGCTATTAGATCCCCCGATTGAGCCAGTACGTGGACACACTCTGCAGAGGCATGGCAGGCTATAAAGGGTGGTGACTGATCCTATTATGTTTCTCATTGTATTGATAGGGATTGATTTGATGAGTTGTTTTCTCAATTATGAAAATAAGAATGTCTATAAGTCATTAGAGAATCAAACACTGGGACACAACGATATCAGGAAGATTTAATGACCCAGGGATTGAATCAAGGGCAACCCAATAGCAAAAATAAAGATGAGAAAACAATTAAGCAAGCCACAAAAACAGATTTCCAGTCCACCAATGGCAAACAGTAGGGGAAAGGAGGATGAAAAATCAGATAGTGAACCTCCAGGACACTCAGAACTCACAGCACAGGAAGTAAAAAAAAAAAAAAAGACAATGAAGATCACAACAGCAGGAGGCCCAACAGACCAAATCAAATAGCCAAGGCAAGAAACTAAAAGGAGAGGACAAAAAATAAAGAGTCAACAAAAGGACAATAACATAACAATAATGTCAGTACATATCAGTTATAACTATCAATGTCAATGGCCTCAATTCAACAATCAAGAGAAATAGATTGTCAGAATGCATTAAGAAGCAAAATCCAACAACATGTTGTATACAAGAAACACACCTAGTGCAAAAAGAAGCCCATAGACTGAAAGTGAAAGGATGGAAAACAATTCTCCATATGACAGGAGCCCAGAGAAAAGTAGGGGTAGCAATCTTATCTGCAGACAAAGCAAACTTTAAACCAAAACTGATTAAGAGAGACAAAGAAGGCCACTACATCCTTGTAA